AAAATCAAGAACCCTAGACTCCGGCGTGTATCCAACTGCCTTTGCTCGAGGAATGGCACTGCTCGTGTAGGTTTCGTGAGAGATCTTCACTCCCTTCGGAGTGCCCGTGCTGCCGGAGGTGAATATGATGTACATAAGAGCGGAGGATGGTACAGCGGGTAAGTCGGAGATTGATGGAGAGGTTGCTGGATTTTTGAAAGCATCTTCTTCAACCACGAAATGGTTTCCAGTTGACATAATGGTTAGTGACAGCTCATACTGCTTGCGGGACGAAACCATCGACTTTGCGCCAACCTGCACCGCCATGTTTTGAAGACGGGCAAGCGGAAGAGTTGGATCCATGAGCGCAAGGGTTGCGCCTGCTTTCATCACTCCGAGTACAGCGACAATCGTCCACCTGGACTTCTCAAAGCACACGGGGAGGACATCGTGCAGCTCGACGCCCATTTCTTTGAGCGAGCACGCCACGGAAGTGGACCATTGATCAATTTGGCCATATGTCAGGCTACCATCCCAGGAATCGATGGCAAATTTGTCTGGGTATTCGCGGGCTCTTTCGGCAACCATTTCTTGCATGCAAAAGTTGTATGTGGGAGGTAATTCGTGGTTCCATCCCCATATATCGTTCAGATCACATGCAGTCGGGCGAAGACACTGTTCAATGGTCGCTTCGGGATTTGTGAGGCATACTCTGACAGTGTCGGCAAGTGCCTCGACATGGTGATTTACCGTGTATGGCAACATGTTCTCGGTGTGCCACAATGGGCGGACCTCGAGGTGGGCATTATTGAAGCGAACTTCGAGATGAAGCATACCCTTTTCAATTACGGTTAGTTACCACTGGGTCGCTATAGTTTTAACTGTGCACTTACTTCATCCTTGGCTTCTTCGGATGTTCGCGAAAGAGAGCTGGTGCTCAAAATGAGGGATGCGGGACTTGACGCTCCCGCGGTGATACTCCGAGATATCGCTGTCGCAACTTCTCCCACATTACTCTGTAATCCTTTCATTACTTCATTCATCAATAGTTTGTTCACTGATTTGGGTTCAGTGCCATTTGCGAAATCTTTGTAGGACCAGTCGTATGATATTTGACTGTCTTCCCGGCTGCGCAACAAGACCATGAGCCATGACAACAGCACAATCTCTTCCTTCATGCCGGTCGGAGTGGTGATTTGTTCCGAGGCAAGATGTGCGATTTGGAATGAGCTGAAGTCGCCGTTCGTGTCTGTTGGCGCTTTCTCAATTCCGTTTGGCGCATTATGAATATAGGCATCTTCGAGAGGTATGAAGCCCATTATGACGGCAGGCCAGCACAGCTGGTCTTATTAGCCTCGAATTGATGTGAGGAGGGAATTGGGGCTTGACTGTTAAATCCGGAGCCTTCACGCGGGTCGATTTGACGGAAGTGTGTCACTATATAGCCAACTAGCCACGGTTCTGCTACATCGTGCTCCACCTGGCTTGAAAGCTCCGAAGTATCCTGACTGTATGTACGGAGTACCCAGGTATTTTGCATATCACCGAGATCGGCTATCGCGGGGTGGATTATTCGACATTCACCCCGTTCTGGAAGGCAAAATGATACCAAGCCAGAGCGTGTGCCCGTTTCATCTTTCCTAAATGCTTCGGACCCGTACGTGTATGTGATTTCAGATCAAAACTACATACAATACTGTATAATACAAGAAGTATCCACAGGATCCACATGAAAGACACGGAAGGGAAAAATGAGAAATACCTAGGTAGGAGAAAATAAAAAGAATCCATGGATGCTACCCAAAGCTATTTTCAGTTAGGCTATTGCTCATCGTAAAGAACAGAAATGCAAAGAACCCTTGTTGTAGGCTATGAGGAAAGCAACGTGAACATGATCGACCTATTCTGGAACACATCAAGACTTACTCCAAACTGAAAAGGAATTGTTCATCAAGGTTTCGGAGACTAATTGCTCAGGTGAACCATAATTGTGCGCTTCAAGCGGAAACGCCCGATGCACGATGGAGGAGAGGAACGAGGGGGCTTGTGATATTTTGTCATTCCGAGACCCACCTTTAAGATCGCATGCACCGCGGCGCATGTGTGTCGTGTACACTTTTCGCAATATATGTACCAACATAGAAAGCTCCGAATACACCCATCCGATAATTTTAAATAAGAATATTGACTTGGGCCCTGGCGCAACGAGCGTGTAACCATAAAAAACATCCAGAAAAGGCCTCACTTTGTTGCGCACGTTCCTTACTTGATTTCTTGGCTCACTTGCAGAAAGCTCTAGATGGGTTCTTCCAAACGCCACAAAATATCAACCCACTCGTTTGTATTATTGCTTTTTGGTCTGATGAATGTTGTAATGTTGCAGCAATATTTTGGTCTTGGTTTTGCACAATGCCTAGATATAAGGGCTTCTTCAAGCAGGGATCTTCGAATATGAAGCCAGGTAAGGCTAACTACTAACTAAGTTGACCAAGGATTCCTTAGCATCTTAGAAAAGTCTTGTATTGAGATGCAGGTGTTGACGAATTTACTTTCTGCATGTTGGGTACGTAGAGTTTTCAAAGAGGGGCAATCTAATCAGATTCTCCTTTTTCCAGCCAATCAATCTAATCAGATTCGTTGATCTTGCCTATACTGGTTAGTGCCGACTAGCCTGCAGGTGTACGAGAGCTTTAGTGTTAACGGTGGAGTCTTATTGGCCTATCTTTATTTCCGTACAAGCTCGGTGTAATTATTGGCTGTACTAGTCGAGACACCCATTGCTTGTATTCACCGAAACCATACCGAAGTATTCAATACATCCCCATAACATGTAAAATATACGGCGTATTACCTAAATGGGTATACTGAAATACCTGGTTCAAAACATCCATAGTTATGTATAATTTTCTCAAGTCTGTCTTGCCCCTCCATACCTCAGAGTCTAGCGCATGAGAATTCCATGGATATGAGACTTGTTACCTAATATTTCGGCTTGACACGGTATAATCAGATTGATAAGATGCCCTGAAACAGTTTACCCTGTGGATCGAGTAACTCGGTTCAAACCAACCGACATAAATTGTCAGAGGCAGAAAGACACAAAGCCCGATTTCGGCAATTTATTAAATTGAAGAAAAGACCATACCCCGAGGCCGTCTCTAGCTCCTAGAAAGTTTTCCCCTTCAATTGAACACCTACACAACTAACTACCCCACCACGCACACCCTCACACCTCCCTCAAACTCACCAACATGTCCAAGTTCTGGCCTAAGGGAGGCCTTCCCGGTATTCTACACCACTACGTACGTTCCCGCACAAGCTAGCTATCAACAATACTCGAATTCCAACTAACAATCAATGAAACATCTAGACCGAAACCCTCGTCACATTCGAATATGCCTCCACAAACGTGCGCCAACCACACAGTCTCCTCTTTATCGGCGGACTAGGGGACGGCCTCGCAACAACCTCCTACATGGCCGACCTGGCGCGCGCACTACAACAATCCGAATGGTCCCTCTTCACACTAAACCTCACATCCTCGTACCAATCCTGGGGTCTGGGCCATCTGGACCGCGACACGAACGAGATCGCCCAATGTCTGGAGTACATCAAGAGCTACAAGGGCGATAAATTCGGCGGCGGCAAGATCGCGCTAATGGGCCATTCCACGGGCAGTCAGTGCGTGCTGCACTACCTATCCCAGTCGAACCCTCACACGAAACTCCCTGCCTTCGACGCTGATATCGAACACGTCACGCGGCCCGTGCTGGACGGCGCGATTATGCAGGCGCCTGTTTCTGATCGCGAGGCCATTTTCTGTGTTCTGAAGGGGGGGATTGGGGATACGACGCCGGAGAAGGCTCGTGCTATTTATGATGAGATGGAGGCGTTGGCGAAGGAGGCTGTTGCCGAGGGGAAACCTCATGATACTATGTTGCCTCTTTCGTTGACTTCTATGATTTATCCGGCTAACACCCCGATTAGCTGTCGGAGGTTTTTGAGTCTTGTTAGTCCTGAGAGTCCGCAGGCGCCTCAGGAGGATGATTTGTTCAGCTCGGATTTGAGTGATGATCACTTTGGGACTACCTTTGGTAGGATTCAGCAGCAGGGGCTGTTGAATCATAAGTTGATGGTGTTGATCTCTGGGAAGGATCAGTCGATTCCGGATTATGTTGATAAGGACAAGATGCTGGCGAGGTGGCAGAAGGCTACGGATCATGATGGGAAATATCAGATCTGGGATCAAAAGCACACTGGTGTTATTCCTAATGCCTCTCATGCTTTGAGTAATGATGACCAGGCTGAGCCACGGAAGTTCCTTGTTGAGAGGGTCTTGGGATACCTCAAGACGGCTGTGGAGAGGGAATGAATGAATTGCAATGAAAATGTATGATACTAGATTAAAAGAAGGAATTATATACCATTTAACATGCTTTTCAAACACATGCAACATACAAGGTGAATGGATTATCGATAGTAAATCTTCGAAGTCAACCGTAACCAGTCTCGATTATACATGAGTACGTCGGCAGTTTTCTATACGTGGCGTAAAGGAGCCCCAATGGGGTTTGTTCGGGAGTATGAAGAATATATAACGTTTGTACAACCTGAAGCTAGTAACGAGAGAAGACTCTGCGTCTAATTTGAGCAGTCTATAAGACCATAAAAAGCTAACATAACGAGTAGTGTATCTATTGAAATTGAACATAATAGTACATACATGGAAGATGAAAACCCAAGTCACGAGTGTTGATAACAAATAGAAAAAAGAAAAGATCGAAAGTAACATGAGACGCTCAAATGCACCGAGTGGTATCTAGTCGTCAATGGTAGAAATGATAAGAGAGAGTCCAGAGAGAGGAAGGGATGGAACAAAAAAGAAAAGAAAAGACCCAGAAAGGGGATATGAGGGAATGGTAGGTAGAGTAGATATAGGTAAATGAAACAACAAGGAAATAAGGAGAGCCTAGGTCAAGGCAAGATGAATGTATAAAGAGTGCGAAGGGAAAGTTGTGTGTTTAGAACATGCCTCCATCGACGGGGATAGCGGGAGGCGGGTATTGAGGCACAGCCGGTGGAGTGCCCGTTACGGATTCCTGGCGCGCCCGCGCGTTCAGGTTAGCAGCCTCGCTCGAGGTCTTGCGGAGACGGTTGCGGGAGCGCGGACGTTTTTCTTCGTCCGGGAGGACACTGTGTTCGTCCGCGGTGCTCGGGGCCGGCGAAGCGACCCGTGAAAGGTCGTTCTTGTCGGTCTTGTCGGTCTTGAACGCACCCAAGATGGTTTGAGTGGCGGTGCCGCGGCGACGGCGAGGGTTCATAGGTGGCACTGGAGGTGCGCTGCTGGGTGAAGGCAGCGCGGATCCGGGTGGGAGACCGACCAGAGGCACGTTTGACGTGGATGAGACAAAGGTTGGCTCAGAGATCTGCTTCTTGTTCACAGGGCGCTTCAGGAGGGAGCCGTGTCCCAAACCACGTTGGGGAATCTGCGAGTTGCTAGATGAAGAAGCCAGGGATGTAGATGAGCTGTCTGTGGGCATTTCATTCAGCGGAGGAGTGGCATTCGCAGAGTAGGCCGGGGCGGCAGGCGGGGGCCGGGGCGAAGCACCGATGATCGAGGATGTGTTGGACTGCGAGAACTGGAATGGCCGTTCGTATTGGAAGCTTGGTGTACCGGATCGACTAGTACTGCGGTGTCGGCCCGAAGCGGCAGAGGGGGTGCGGTCGAAGTTCATGGAGTCAGACATTTCTGCTGATGGGCGACTCGACGTAGGGCGCGAGGTAGGCACAGGAGGCTCATAGTCCTCCGGAACAACAAAGTTGTCATGTGCGATGATTGAACCCTCGTCCACTGTTTGGAGGTCATCCCGTTCGCGAAGTCTGGTTCGACTCTTGGACCGGCCCGATGCATCCGAGCCTGCACGATCTCTCTGGTCTCGGAAGGGCGAGGGCGAGGGGCCACGGCTGCGGCTGGACTCGCGCGAGTCTTCGTAGCTGTTGTCGCGGCTGAGAGATGGCATACGAGATCTGAGCGAACGCTCCGATCCAATATGGGGAGAGCTGGAGTTGGAGTGGCGGCCGAAGTTGAAAGAGGGCCGCTCCTCTTCACGCCAGGAGTCATCAGAAGAGAGAGCAGGCGTGGACGAATTGCCAGCAGCATAACCGAACAATTTCTTTTGATCCGGCTTTGCGCTAGCCTGCTTGTTAGACTTTTGCTTCAGCATGGCGAATGCGTTACCAGTCCGGGACAAATCTGGAGTTGACCGTCCCGGGGTGGGGCTGCTGGATCGGCTTTCGCTTTCAGCAACACTTCGAAGCTTCTCCTGCACCTTTCTACGCCTCTCTGCCAGCTCCATGGCGAATTCCTCTCGCTCCCTTTGGGTTTCAGTGCTCCCATGTCGGCGATGGTGAAGTTCCAATTCCTCCCTCCAGGACGGACCGGTCGATACAGAAGCTGTGCCGGGGATAGTTCCAGGTGCGGATGACTCTTCGCTGTTTCGAGAACCCGTGCCCTCCGCGGAATGTCCAGAAGGAGATTGCGAGCTCGAGGTTCCTGGGCGGGTTGTTGACGATGGCCGACTCTCTTCGCGAGGTTCGGATATCTTGGAAACAGCGGTTGGTGGCTGGGCAGTCGATTTCTGGGTCTCGGTATTAGGGGGCTCTGTATCATTTTGCTGCTGCAGGAAACGAGGCGAAGGAGGAGGGAAGACGGAAGATTTGTCACTTTCCTGGCGAAGGTGAGATCTAATCATTCCCCCACTCCAGTAAAGCCTTGATCTGGCTGCAGGGTTGGCGAGTCAGGTCTCTTGGGTGTGTTATCGCTGATGCCGGAAGAAGCAGTTGTGAAGTCAATGTCGTTCTCGGCGATGGGTCTAAGATCACCTAGATCGGAGTATCTCACTTCGGGGAGCGTTTCGAGGTGATCCTTCGTGGGAGTCGATGGCTTGTTAGATGCTATGCTGGAGTGCTGGAGCGGCGGACCGTACTCGGTGGTCAATGCAGTGGCAGATGAGGGTTCGTGCGAAGAAGGGTTCTCCCCTTCATCGCCAGACTCGCTGGCAGATGAGTTGGCGTAGAAAGTCCTCACTCCGGGCCTGAAGGGAGAAGCCTCAACGCTGGGCACACCGGATTTATCAATGCCGCGGTGCGCATCGCTACTGTAGTGAGACGAGGCGGACCCTGCCCGGGAACGATAGCTGGACTTGGATAGTCCGCGAGCACGGCCCACGGGTTCCGCGGGTAGAGGTCGTCGCGGGGGTGATGCACGACGCGGAGGCGGAGTCTCTCGTCCTTGGTGCATTTGGAGTTGGCGGCGGGAGAATGCCTGCTCGTCGAAACCAGTGACAGGTCGGTTGAATAAGCCCATGGCGGTAGCTTTTCCATGATCTTCTGGGTGAATGGATGCAGCCAACAGCGAGGGAACCTCGTCGTTCTCGCTTGTGGGCGGGCTCAGGGGGAGCCCCAAATGTTGCTGCTGTTGGCGAGGGACGGTCTCTGATTGCGGCTTCTCCGGACATGCGGGGCTTCGGTGATGTTGCGGAGGAAGGAGGGCTAGTCGGCCGTGCGGTAGAAGCGGGCTCGACAATTGCAAGCTTTTGCAGGCGATCCCGCAGGTTGGTGGCACTTCTGGAGTAGTTGCGATTCAGAGAGGGGAGATCTGGAGTTCCGGCACGCTGGCGGCTCAGACTCTCCAGACGGTTCAAGGTTGAGCTCTGTTGGCTCTGAGCAGCCTGGGTCAATCCTTGTCCGTAGAGACGACGATTGCGAATCGAACCATTGCGCGGGGCAGACATGGGAGCAGGACCGGGCCGAGGGGCCTCGGGAAGTGTTTCCGGGAACGGATAACCAGTCACTGGAGAGTGGGATGTGTTCATCGGTGACTCGTCGGCCGAGGTTGCTCCAGTTGACGTTGGAACTGTTGACAGAGGCCCGGATGCGGTGGAGGAGTATGTGGCCCGACTGTTAGATGAAGCAGTTGAGGCGGCATATCCAGATTCCCGAGCGGCCTCCGCTGTTCTCTCTTCCTTCTCCTTGAGGCGCAACTTCTGGAAAGCGGATAGGTTCATGTCGTGGTCATAGACCGGCTTTCCCATTCCCCGGTTAGCAGCCTCTGGCGCATCGGGAGTTGTTGCTCCCGGCGATCTAACGGGGATCTTGTAAATCTTTTGGCGACCTCCGAACAGATTATTGCCTTCGGCGCGACGGGCTCTGCTCATCATACTGCCCGCTTGGGATCGGTCATCGTCTGTACCATAGCCATCCCCACCAGAAGCGAAAGAACCACGGTCCAGTGCAAGGGATGGTCGGCTACCGTCATTGGAGCAAACTTCGTCGATGTCTGCCAGCATGGCCGGGCTGTGGCCGAACAAATTGAGTCGCGAAGCGCGTTTGGGAAACAAAACGCTATCATCACTGGCCTTGCCCAGCATTGAAAGTGGGTCGTCCTGTTCCTTCAGCATGCTAAATCGAGCGGACAATTTAGGCATTAAGAGACTGGTGCGGAAGTTGTCTGTCGGGGGCAGTGCGGCTGATAGGTCGAAATCTGGTTTGGGTTCCGGTACGGCCTTCTTCTTTGACGGTTTCAGACTGAATCCTGGTGATGTCGCTTCTTGGTCCTCCGCGGGCTCCTTCGCCTTCTTGTGTTTGCGGAATCGATTCATCATGAGTGGTAGGGTCGAGGCGCTCAGGGGCCGCCTCGTAATAGGTAAGGAATGAATGCGATTCGGTAATATCTAAGTCTGAGTGGAATGAATGTCGATATCGTATAAATCCAGCGAGCGTGTAGTGGTTGCTTAAGGGTTGATCAGTGTCTCGGTTTGGGTCAATGCCTTCCAAAGTGACGCAATGGATATCGTTATCCCGAGAATGCAATGAACGGCATGACCTTCAAGTGCGACGAGTGCAGATTTGAGGGTCCGGAAGAGAAATGTCTCCTGAAGAGAAGAGGCGCAAGGAATGCCAAGTTCAAGTCGTGTACCGTGAATGGTCCGGATGCAAGACCAATCAAAGTATTTAGCGGGGCCTGACAGATCACAGCTTGAGACAGGAAGCAATAGGCTGCAAAGTCGGTTGAGAAGGAAATCAATCAAAAAAAAAAGAAAAAAAAGAGTGACTGGGGAAATTGACGCGAAGAATGTGAGAGGGGAGATTTGGAATGGATCCAGAACTGTAACTTCTCCAGGGCTCTCTTTCTCTTCTCTCTCTTAGCGGCATACCATATTTACCAAGAGAAAAAAAAATTAAAAGGGATCTAAGATGATCGGCTCAAATTGGTGTCCACCAAGTCGATCAATATTAACCGCATTAACTGTTGAATTTCTTCTTTATATTTGTATATTTATATACTGTTTAATTATCTTTGTTTAATTATCTTGTACATATGTATGTACAATCTATGTTTCTGTTTACTGTTTCAGCTTTCCTGTATACTGCACTGTCCATGAGGGCCAAGGGGCTTCCCGAAGCTGCATCCATGGTCCGATGTAGGTATGGTATGGTAAAGCTACTTAGGTAAATAGTTCAGATCTCACTAGATAACAAGTAGTCATCTAATGAAATTACTGTAATGTAATTCTACCCCCCTTGCGTATAATAAAAAAAATAAAATGTCAAGGATCACATCCACCCCCCTCTCTTCCTTCTCTTCCTCTTCCCTCTCAGTCCTTCTCTTGTCTCTACCGGAATGTGGAACCTGGGGCTGAATGCCACTCTAACTGCGGGATAGGTTGGATATGTCAATGTGGCCAATTCCTTCGAAACATGCAATTTGGTACTCCGTACTCCGTATATTCCTCATGTGCTGTGTGTTATTTTCCTACGAAACCGGGGACTCCGTAATGAAGCAAAGGAAAAAGAAAGAGAAAAAAAGAAAAAAAACTACGTATTGGTCAGTGAATCCCAGGGGCCTGGACACGGGAACCACCAAGATCGTCGCCCCATTACTTCATTCCACAGTTCGGGGCAAGATTTTGATGTGGAAGGTGGTCACGGCACGAAGTAGTTCATCCAATCTCTCATTCGAATCGAGCAGTAGACCCAAGTCACACACACACATACACACCATATAAGCCATTAAACTCCTTGCTTTGTAGGAAGCTGGCAGCAAGGGAAATTCATTGTACCTCAATGTACATATGTTGTAACTAGTTAGCAGGCTAATCAGACATGCGATACACCGTAGCACTACAGTATGCAATTAAAACTTAGAATACGGGTGAGAGATTCATCGCGATCATAATCTGCGATATGTCCATAGGGCAATATATTGAAAAAAAATTAAATTTATTGCGGCTTGGTTTGAGAAATGAACAATATCATATACATACATGTAACTAATGTAGTAGGACAACTCAGCCACAATATAAGACCAAGCGTCATGCAATACCAACACAATAAGCCAAGACCTGAATTCGTGAATGTTCCGACTGTGCAGGAGTGCAGGGTGCAGGAGTGCAGGACAATGCCACTTGACTCTGCATCTGAGGCTTGGACTTTCCAACTTCCTACTTTGTATTGGTGGATCTCCCAGGTCGGAGACAAGCTGAACTACAATATACTCCGTATGTTGTATATGGTATCTGCCCCGATAGAGTGTTTCTCTCCACTTGATCAATTTCTTAAGAGGTCTGTTCATCTTGAAAGATAGTTTTTTTTTTTTTTCCCCGATCTGTGTGGTGGAACCGAACAGATAATTATTAATGGAGAACTGAACAGCCCCAAAGCCTAGAATGGTATACAACATACATTCAAAACATGAAAAAGAAAAGGAAACCAATTTTATTTAGCCTCTAAAATGCGTTTTGGCCGGTAGCTTGACAGCCGTTTGGGAAAGCCCCGCCTACAAGCTTTCCAAACTTCCGAAGTTGACTAGAAACAGTTAGACACAAATTAGGATATTAGCCCTAGAGAGGAGAGAGAGAGAGGCCCAAAAAAGAAATGCTATGCCCCTGACTAGTCCCAATGTGGATAACTAATTTAACGCCTCGGGTTCGTTTTTCGTTAAGTACTCCGTAGATATAACTAGACATGCTGTTTTAAATCCAAGTTTTAGATAGGGATCATAAATAATCGGTATAAGAACTAGAATACTTTGATTGGCTTAATGGTATCTAGAATAAACCCATGTGCAAGACAAAGTAGATGGAGCCCCAAGAGACATCAACGTATTGGAAAGCATCCGCCAACCGGGTTTCAACCTCTCACTCCGCGGGGCCAATCCTCGTGGGCAAAGAAAGGTTCGGTTTCATTTCATTTTCATCTGTTTATTTATTTATTTATTTAGAAAAAAAGAAAATCAAAATCTCTGACATTGGACCTGTCAATTAGCTTCAATCCTCTTGAATATAAAATGTCATCCACACTATTCTGTATACACTACCGAATAATCCACCAGTAGTACAACATATATTGTCACCTTGCATTGATCTATACTTCTAGAATGCATAGAAGCCAACGAGAATCTGATATCTGATATCCGATATTATTAGCTCGGAATCTATGAACCGATCGCGAATATCAATATCCGGAGTAATAGCCGGAGATCCAGGGGCTTCCACCAAACCGGTGGAAACTCAACCAAAAGAAAAAAAAATGAACGCAACATTATAATTGGAGCCCCCTCATCCTGTCCTCTCCCTCCCCTGTCGTTAATGAGGGGTTCCCGAGACCGGGGGCAGCCCCCGGTCTCTCGATGGTGTTCATGGAGGAATACGGAGGAGAATTTACAAGGATATATGTAGTTATGTACTCCGTACATGTAGTCGTATGACCAAGGCGAATACGCTCATTGCCTACAATAACTACTCCGTACCTTCGTGGTGGTTCTCTGGTCTCAAGGATCGGGGCCACTGTACGGAGTACTCCATACAACTATGTATGGTGCACGCACATCATTGTATCTCATTGTATCCACCGAGTAGGTTTGTGCCTAATTGTAGGTTTGGAACGAGGTGCTGTTTTCCTCGGAGGATTACTCCGTAGAGGGTCAAACTTCGAAATACGAATGGGTTTGTGGAGTCGGCAGTTGGATTTGGTGCCCGTCGAATTTAATTAAAGAGAAGTTAGAAAAGTTTCTTAGTGCGAGAATGTTCGGTTTTTAATTTACTTCAGACGAGGGCATTGGGTTCTAGAACATATTGGCTGAACCCTAGAAACTCCCAAATTTAACTGAATATCCTCGTATGTTGTACTCCGTATACAACATCAGAAAGTACGTGCCATTTTAATTGTGCTGGAGTTTCATTAGACCTGGCATCTATGTTTTGTAGGAGATATATTGTCGTCGCTAAAATATACATAATTTCCTAATATGACCTCATCACTGATATAAAGACCGAAAAGTCGAGAATAAGAAGTATACCATAGTTTGCTTGGATAGAATCATGCAAGATGTACCATTGACAAAAAATAAACGAAAAGCTGCACGCTCGCTCAACTCTCCATCCAAACAGGGACCACCATTGTCCATCTCACATTACCACACCCATGTCCAGATGGTTCACGAGAGGGGAGCAGAACAGGAAAAGAGAAGAGAAAATGGAGAAGAATATAGAAGACAGGGGAGAAATGAGGCTCCTTTTCATTCATACATGATCCCACCCAATCTAGAAGGGGCAAGCAGAGAAAAAAAAAACAAAAACAAAAACAAAAGAAAGGGTCGTCTGCTCATAGCGCAATAACTACAACAAAAAGGTCGAATGCTCAAACCAGAATCCTTTCATCCACTTACTTACTAGCTTCCCAGCCCACCCAGCTGCGGGGCATCACGCGCCAGACCTTGCATTCACCACTACGGAGGTCGTTCAGCTTGAAGCTTTCCATTTTGACCTTCTTGCTCTCACGGCCTTGCTCCCAGGCTCGGATCTTCTTCTTCGTGCCATCCCAATCAACCACGATGCCGACGTGGTCGGGCTTCCCTACCTCGGCGCTGTACTTCTGGTGCATGGTGCCGCGGTGGCCCTGGAATCGGGCATTGCGGAAGCTGACAATATCACCGGCGCGGATCTCGTCATTCTGAGACACAGAGGCATTGGCCAGGTTGGAATAAACCGAGGCACCGTATCCGCGAGTGCCTACGGGAAGTAGCGCGTCGGAAAGAGGATTGAGCAGGTACTGGATCAGCCCGAAAGGAGTGCCGTCCCCAACAGTAGAATTCTGGACCGAGTTGACGGCTTCTGAGATTCGGGTCCCAAGCTTAATGTGAGCCTGCTCAAGTTGGTCCTGGCGAAGCGGGAGCGGCGGGGGGTTCATGGCGCTGCTCGAAGGAAGCATCCGCGGGGTTCTTGGGATCGAATTGGACATTCAGGATCGTCTGTGAGTAATCGATGAACAAGATATAAACATCCTTCGAGACTGTTGTTTTACCGCTGCGGTTGGTGGATGCAGTCTCTTCGACCTCGAAAAGCAGATCATTGCGGTTCTGGAAAGACGGAGGCGGGGTGTTGGGTTTAGTCCACCAGAGGGTATACGTGGCAAAATCAACATCAGTAGCGATGTAGCCTTGGTCAATAGATGGGCGAGAAACATCCATGGACCGACGAAGGTTAGGCTGATTTCTTAGAAGGTCCATAGATGCGCGCTGGGTTCGGGCTGCGGACGGGGATGGCAAACTTGAAGAAGACTGGCTTTGAGGGGGCATAGGCGCCAGTGAGAGACGCTTCTCATTCAAGGCAGAGGGTCTTTCTTTTACCGGGCTCTGCACAGGGGGCGCATCATACAGATCGTCATATTCATCGGCCGCTTGCTGTGGTGGGAAAGGAGGAGGAGCCTCCGGGCGACCGATCGGGAGGGGCGGTGATGTGGGGAGACCATGCCGGGGAGCGGCGTAGTTGAAAGGGTCATACTCAACATCATCATTATCGCTCGCCTGCTCTCTGTTCGGCGGAGGCGGCGGCGGTCCCCTGGGTGTGTCGATAGACGCACGGGCACTCCGGGGCGGCTGGCTTGGGGGTGGAGGCGGAACTGCTCTGGGAGCCGTGGGCGGAGGAGGTGGGGGATGCCGGGATTCCTGGGGGCTGCGCGGGGACTGAATAGAGTGGTCGTCGGTGATAATACCCTCGTCAAAGCTGGAGTCACGGTCGTGAGCTTTCAGAGCATCCTTGTGTTTCACTCCCGATGCGATATCAGTGTCGTAGTCTCCATCGTATTCAGTCACCTCTCCTTCTGCTTCTTCTCCAGCCTGTCGAGAAGCGGCTAACGCACTCGTCCGACTATCAGCGGTAGATCGGCGACGAAGCTGATCGGGAGGTGGGGGGTGGGGGACCGCGGCCTTGCGACGATGGTGGCATAGGCGGATTGACCGGGATAGGGGGTGGTAGACGACTAGCTCTCTTTTCAGCCGCAGGGGTCGAAGCCGTAGAGGGCACAGTGTCATATGTCGAGGAACGGCGAGAATCAATCTGATCAGGTATCGCAGGCGCAGGCACGGCTGGGGGAGCAACTGAGGTATTCAGCGACAGATTCGATGTGTGGACCGACAATTCATCATCGGACTCTTCACCCTTGTCAGCGGTTGTGGGCCGCGGAGGAGGAGGAGGAGCTGATCGGCCTGTATATCATGATTAACGCCCATATCAAATAATTTGTTTTAGGGTCTGGGTACTCACCGACAGGAACTGGCGGAGGGGAAGCTGGTGGCTCACCTGGGACAGTCGGGACGGGTCTTGACTCTCGAGGAGGTGGAGGAGGTGCGGAACGATCTGCGACTATCAGAGATTGAAACCATGCATTACATCACCGGAGAATATCTTACCCTGAGACGGGGGAGCCGGGGCCGGACGATCAATAGAGGTACGTGGCAGTGCACCTTCGTGGATGACCTCCTCGACGTCTGGCACCTCGCGTGCAGGGTGTTGTTCCGTGAGAGGAGTTGCCGAAGGCTCCTCCTCTTCCTTCTCCACTTCAACAGAAGAAGGTGCCGGCTTGCTAGCCACATTCATTCCAGGAAGGGGAATCATAGGAACTGGGGGCGCATTGGCAGGGGAAGTGGGCTCAGGCTCGAGTTCTCCAAGCCTTCTCTCTGACTCGCCGGGGGTCTTGGCCTTGCGAGCACCACCGGCACTAGACATGCCTGGCATACCTCCAGCAGGAGGGCCGAAAAGACCCATCATACCCATTCCACCGCTCATCTTAGCCATTCGCTCACGCAGTTCCATTCTGCGCTTAGTTTCAGGATCCATTTCCTCTTCCTCTGCGTCGCCCTCGTCTTCAACATCCGCCTCGGCAGTTTGCTCGACCGCACGAGTCGGCGGTTGGCGCTGGGAGACCGGACGAGGCTGAGGCTGATCTTCCTCGTCATCCTTACTAGCAGATGTCTCGCCAGCATCCTCGGAGTCTGCAGCAGCAGAGTCGTCGGCATCGTTGGCGTCACTCGCGATTTCTTGGGTGGGCGAGAATGGGACGGGGGGCTGTGGAGGAGGAGGGGGCGCAGCCCTCATGGTATCAACACTAGGATCCCGAGTAGCCGAGGATTCCTCGACAGAGGGAGCCTCCTGTTCCTCATCGAGCACGGGAGCCACGGGTTCATCCATCGACTTCTTAGGAGGGGGGCGGGAGGGCTTTTCTTTCTTCTGGGCTGCTTCTGCATGACGCTGAGCTTGCTCTAATTGTTGCTTCTGGAGCAAAGCAATTCGGTCTTTCAGACTAGTTGGCTTGGGCTGGTCCTCTGCGCCCTCTTCCCCGCCCTCAACAGGAGCAGGCCGGCTTTCAGAAACCGGGGGCTCGCGGGCAATTTGCTCTTTCACATCGGGGTCCTCGTCTCTTTTGTAGACCTTGGGTGCGGGTTCTCTTGGTGGAGGCTTGTAGGCGTCCCGGCTAGGAGGCGGCGCGACGAAAGGCTTCTTGATGAAAGATGGCTGGGAACCACCCGGTTTGAATGGCGTAACTGGTGCCGCAGCAGGTTTGTTGAAGGCAGCAATACGATCCCTGAATGACGACCCCGAAGGCTTCTCCGCCACAGCTGGAGGCGCAGGTTTTGAGGGTGCTTTGGCAGCGGGTTCAGTTGCGGCCACGGGAGGGGCCGGAGCAGGCGCCTTTGCCGGCTGCGGAGGCGAGGATGCAACTTCTGCTATAGGGGCACTCGCACGTAGAGGAGACTGAGAAAGAGGTGCCTGCGGGGATGCAATCTCATAATCTTCCTCCGTGGGCTGCACCTCTGGCTCGGGTTCGGGCTCGGGCTCGGGCTCAGGCTCAGCTTGCTTGCTTTCAACCACGGGGGACTCTGCTGGCACCGGCTCGGGCTCCTTTTTCGGTCTGGGTCGAGAGGGCCTCGGAGGGGCCGGAGGTTCGTATTTTTCAACGAAGTTCTTCGGGAAGATGCCCTCCTGCTTGGCCCCCTGGGCGTCTGAGTATTCGCCGTAGTACCAATCGTCGTCCTCGAGAGCGGTGACGGTCACGATTTGACCGATGGGAAAGTTGAGGTCGTCATCATGGCCCGAAGCATACTCGAAAACCGAGCGGACCGTAAATGGCGGACCTGACATCTGGAAAGTCGAAACCGATGTTTAGACTTTAGGACAATCGGTGTGGAGTGAGGAATGCTGAACGAGTCTGTGACGCAATGACGCTAGAATATCTGTACAGAGCGAATCGCCAGCTTCAATACGGTTAGCATATAGCGATATTTGAAGCGAAATGAATCAATTCCTTTTGTGGTACGAAGGCGTGTCAGCTTAGATGAAACGGACGTCAACGAGTGGGTGCCTACAACCAGGAGATGGGGGGGAGGGGGTAACTGCGGAAGCACTCACGGTGTGGAGAACCGAACACCCTAGACAGGGCCAGCAAAGATTCGATGCAAGATGGGAAGAAAAAAAAAAAGAACACGGTCGGAAAGACAAAAAAAAAGTAGTAGGGGAAGAGGATGTAGTGAGGTGGTCGTCACTTGGCGGGATGGAGGGAAATGGGCTCCACTGGGCGATCGGCAGCTAACACATCAACCAGGGAACACGCACATGAGGGGAAATGCCGTTCTATATCAACTGATTTTTATATTAATTTTAGATCTATGCATATATAGATGATTTGTTTACAAGAGAGGTATATCAGATAGCGTGGTATACATATGGTTAGGTAGCTTGGACAGCTGTACACGTTACATATAGTTATAGGAGAAATATTCTATGTAAATTGTACAAAACACCGAGTAACCATATACTACAGGTAGTACACAATATGTACAAACTATGGCCATCCGAAAAGTCAAAGATAAAACCTCCTTTTTTTATATAAAAAAACTCCTAAATACCCCAAAAGCCTACGTCAGCAGTGAAGTGTCCCTCCCATTGGGAGGTTACGGGCGACTAAATGCCATCCGACACATAACTCTTTCATTGGTTATTACCTCACCGCCTAGTTCATTACTTTTTTATTTGTATACCTAGGTATTATACACTTTATAGATTCAATTCAGATTCAATTCAGATTCAGTTCAGATTTAGTTAGTAAGAAAGTAAGATAGTAAGAAATCAAGAGTCAAGACTTACGACTTAGGAGTATAAAGAGCCCGGTATTAAAAAATTAATATCGTATTTGTTGAACAATCTCCTAACTATTTGTTCGTTATTTACTATTTGTTAGCTTGTTTACTATCATCGAGCAGAGTTTAGATGGTTTTTCCTTTAGGGGGGTATATAACCCCTACATTTCTAGTTTAATCAATTAATAATTCTTCCTCTGCTTTCTCCCCACATAGTAACAGGTTACTAAACAGTATTTATTTATAAAGATACTAGTTATAGTTATAAAGTAACTAGTTAACTATATAACTATTCAACAATGGTACTTGTGAAGTGAGAGTGGATCGAAATTACTGCCAGGCAATATAAACCAATGAGAGAGTTATGTGTCGGGTGGCATACTCAGTCGCCCGTAGAGGTCAATCTGGGGTTTTTCGCCTCTTCCGCTTTGGAGCCGAATTCAGCTATTTTCATTTCATTTTATTTTTTTTTCGATTTCGTCTCACTCTACAACAAAACTCATTTTCAGTTCAACTTACCTTGGGTGATATTCCAGGGGCCTCAATTATAAATTATGGCACAGCAAGGGCCAAGTCACCCTCTCAAGACCTCTCTTCCCGAGACATATGCCGCCATCAATGCCCAGCAACCCCCACCTTCGTCCCTATACCCTTCACAAGAAGAGCAAGACAAATACCTAGAAGGAAGGCCTGGTGCGACCCAACAGCACCTCGAAGTCGCCCTAGAGCACGCCCAGCAGATCCAGACCCAAAAAGACGCCGAAGATGTGATCCTAAACCGCATCCTCGAGCTGCTCGAGCTCCCCTCCTCCCCGACAGCGGACCCTGCCACACCATCTCAAGAAGACACCGTAAAACTCAAATACTCACTCGCCCCATTCCGCCCCAGCGACTACGACAATCTGATCTTGGAGCGAAACTTCGAAGATTTGTGCGGGTATGCTCTATGTCCTCGCAAGCATCGCAAGAAAAACGGCCCACAAGGCGGGTTCCAATTTAAATACGGCCCCAAAGGCAGCGGGCCAGGAGGACGTGGCCGCAGCGTGGACATCGTTTCTCAGGACCGCATCGAAAAGTGGTGCTCAGATGCGTGCGCAGAGCGTGCTCTTTGGATCCGGGTGCAGCTGTCCGAGAAGCCTGTGTGGGAACGCCGAGCGGACGATACGCGGGGCACGACCATTTTACTACTTGAAGAAGCCCGCGCCAAACGCCTGAAGGCACCAGCGGCTACTAGCAGTGTCTCTTCCGTTATGAATGATTTGCAGAGCATGGGACTTGAGAATCGCGACCGGTCCCGGGAGCTTGCGTTGGAACGCGGCGATACAAGCTTGATTCGTCCGGATGGACGTGTCAATGTCGACATCAGAGAAAATCAACGTGGTTCTCAGCAGGTTGCTAACGCTCCACAAATGCGTCCGGAGGATGCAAATGGCGGTTCCATTGAAGGATACGTGCCCAGGGAGCGACGAGACTTGGACCAGGATGGAGACATAGATCTGCTCGATCAGATCTGATATAGCAGGGTTGCGATGGGATTTCCAACGGGGCTTTTCGGCGTTCTACATTTTTAATACCCGATCAATGGTGACATTGATACATGAGTAATGAACAATCTACGCAGACCATATATATGGCTATGGGCTGGCCAGCAGGACTTACACATATATACATATAGTTATGTATATAGGTATAAATCCAGACATGACTCAGACCACCAAAGGTCTCTAGTCTCTTAGACCGAGGTTACCCCCAGTCCAAAAACTCCTACGTAGTCCAACCCAGAGAGTTAACTCATAGGTAGACACGAGAGGGGAAAAAAATTGGCAATCAAGCGTCATCTCCTTTCGGAGAATCAGCGACACCTTTCTCAAAGAGAATCATGTTTATTCATTCCTCATCCAGGAATAGCCTTCCACACTAGCTAAACCATGCTAGCCGGGCGAAAAGCCAGCCAGAACAAACATTTGGGTACCGCCAAGGGTCGACCGAAGGCCAGGTATGAACTTTTGTTTTCGTTATTCCGGGCGCTGGATTTAGCGGGGACCGAAACGACGGGGGCGCTCGGCCTGCTGCTGCTGGCTGACGGCAACAACGTTGACCTTGAGGTTGTCGAACTGTAGAGATAAATATTAGATATATGCCAAGATATTGTAAGTGGGCAGTGAAAACTTACGCCAAGGGACTTGAGAAGGTCCTTGGTGTCGGCGTCAACGTCGAGCTGACCGGACTCGGTCTGGGAGACGTCGAGAGCGGAGACCTCAGGAACGTACTGATCCTTGCGCTCACGCTCCTCCTCCTGAAGCTTGAAGGAGATACCGCGGACGGGACCACGCTGGATGCGCTTCATCAGGTGGGTAGTGTAACCAGCGATCTAGAACAAATTGCGAATCAGAATTGGAGTTCTCGAGTTGTTGGTTCCAATGTATCGAATCTCACCTTGTTGCGAAGACGCTTGGAGGCAATGATGGCGATCTCATCACAGATACGCTTGTTGGTCTCGAAGTCGAGGGTCAACTTGGGGTAGTAACGCTCGATGATGACCTTAGCGGAGCGCTTGACTGTCTTGGTACGGACGCGACCCATTTTGGCGGTTGTTGGCTGGCGGAATGAATGTTCGAAAGATCGAGAGTCGTCGTGCCGATTTGGATGAGTTTGAAAGCCGGCTTTCGCTTAGTCTTGTGCGGGTCCTTGCCCTAGGCCCTAATCTGCAAGTCACGTGGTAACAATCTCTTATTTGATTATGTAATCTAGGACTGGATCGCGCTTGCTCTTTTAGGAAGGTAGCAAACACATCAAAAAGTACACCATTCTCGAGCTTATTATTCCCCCTTCAGTGAAGAACCGGTATCTCCAATGATCGCTGTGAAAATAACTTTGATATTGATGCGTCGATTTATATGACATAGTCAGAAAAGAAAAATGAAAGTAGCTTTACACAAGCACCAAATCTATCATACATGGTACAATCCCTTGCACATCCACCCCTACTTCATTTCCCCCTACGACTTAGAGTTGAGGTTATTGAGAAGGCTGCGTGCGACGTCCTCTGTCCCCTTCGTGGGTTGCCTCCGGGTCCGGTTCTCCCCGGAAGGCTGGAACCGAGGCTGGCCGAATGGCTGTCTGTCCAATCTTGGGACTATCGGGGATGGGGTATTGGCAACATCGGAGATGGTCAAGGTGGTCGGCTTGTGGTAGTCTTCGATTCCGTAAGGAGCCTTGGCGGTTGCACTCGCGCGATAAGATGAAAGGCCAATACGGCCGTCGGAGTCAACCGAAGCCCGGATGGGAGTGACCCAGTATTTACCTCCACCAGGGATGGATGCATCGAAGAAAGTCAGACCGGGGGGTGTGCCTTGCTCCACAAAGGTCATAGCATTCAAATCTTCGACAGCAATACCACCGATACCTGCAAGGGCACGTGCCATGCGTCCCTTAAAGCGGCCCTTGGGGCGCAAGATGCGAGCCTCCACAGGGCGCTGGTGGGCTTGTGGGCCAAACTGGGCATGGTTGTGAATCAGGGCGTGTGATCGCGTGTAGGACAGACCGCCAGATGGGTGTGTTTTGGGGGGTCCTGAGACGGCGTATTCGAATGAGGACAGCTTGCTTCCAGGGGCTTGATAGTATTTGCGTCCGATACGCTCGCTGGGAACCGCCGGGGGGAAGCGAGGTCAAGTAGATCAAATACCACAGGACCGAGAGCGAATGGGTCGTTTCGCAAAGTCTTAATGTAGGCATTGAACTCCGCATCGGTGACAATTGCGGGTTGGGTGTCCAAGTCCTCTCCATTATCCTGTGCCAGTTTCCGGATCTCGGCAGACCGCTTAGCGACAAACTGCTCACGAAGCTTCTGCAGGAGTTCAGGTTTATTGCGAGTCACTTGCTTCAAGTACTCTGCGAACTCAGCCTCTGTCTGCCCAGCAAGCCAAGGGCCGGTGTGTCTGAATTGTTTGGCACCAGGTTCCTGGAGACCCTGGCTGGTCTCGGTGTTATCTAGATGCGTTTCGAATGGACTTTGATGTCTTGGCACAACACTTGTAGCATAATTGACTTTGGAGGGGAGAGACATAGGCATGTGCAGTTCCTGGAACTTCTCGAGGGTCACAGTGTGATCTGCGGCGGATTCGAAGTCGGTGACATGTTCATAGGTATCGAGAGCGTGCACCCTGACAACAGGTCTCGATGATTTCTCCGATGTCGACTTAGCCGGTAAAGGTCGTTTCAATCCCCAATCGCCTCGAGCTAGTGATGATTGTGGTGTAACGATGGAGGCTCGGACGGGGTGAGGCAGAGTTGCGGTGTCGGATTCTCTCGACGTTAGGTCATTGCGGCCCTTGAGAGTTTTAGGGAGTGCGAACAGACGCGAATTTCGCAGCAAGTTCGCCGTTGGCGATAGCCTGGCGGAGGCCATATCGTTCAATGGATTGACTATGTGATCTTGAATAGCTGGCGCGAGAAAAGTTGACCAGAGAACACGGGCCAAAGCGGTACGGTGAGCAGCAACGACCTGAACCGCGGTTTTATATCTATACGATGTGCCTAGATCCACCAATGTTTGCCCCGTACAATATTTTTATTATAAGATATAAGATGCGGTGACATTTGATGGAATTTGTTATTTAAATGGCTTTGCTATAAGTAGTGGTAAAAGAAGAGTATTTTCTTTCTTCTTTTACAATGTATTTATCAATTCAATCTAGATCTATAAAATGAAGGACACTCCAAATTTAACCACCAACAGCTAGAATCGAATCAATGGCGTCTGACACTGTCTGTTTCAGTGGGCGGTACTCGATTCCAAGAACCTTTGCGACTTAGTATTGTCAATTCCATAGATGTGTTCTGGGAAGTCGCTGGGAGCGTCTGCAGGGGGCAGCTTAGGCTTTAACTTGGGGTGGGTCTCGCGAGCAATATCTGCAAGTTCCTTGTTCGAGAAGAAGCCAGCGGTGACAAAGAATCTTTCGCCTCCTGCCTCGGAAACTTCAATGGCTCTGACATGTGCGAGGGCCACATCGCGCACATCCACCCACAGGAAATTGCCTGTTGGAGCTAATTTCTCCTTCATTTCACCCTGGACCATATTTCGAAGGCGCTGGTTCGAGGTGTTGATGGTCTCAAGAGTGTTGAGATAATGAACGATCGGGCCAAATACCAGTGGTGGATTGATGGTAGCAAGATCGAAATTCGGCTTCTCCTTTTCGATGAAGGTCCAGGCTGCTTTCTCCGCAAAAGTCTGATATAGAACTGACTTAGCGCTGGCATTTACTCAGACTGACCGTCAAATATCACCTACCTTGCTACCACGGTAAACTGACGAGTGGTCCATCGCCTCCTCCCACGTCAACGGGTTCCATTCTTTCTCGCTGTAGACCTTAGGGTGCTGCTTGGCGTTCACAATGGCAGCGAAAGATGACGTGATTACCACTCGCTTCACGGTAGGGGCGTATGCTTTGATTGCCTTCAAAATACCGGTTGTCCCCTTGATGGCCGGGTCAAGGAAGTCTTTGACAGGGTCCTGCACGTTAAAATGGAAAGGAGATGCAGTATGGAGAACATAGTCAAAGGGAGGGTTGGATTTGACGGCCTGTTGACTTTCCGTTAGTTTTGTATCTATTAGAGAAACGATCTTCTACTAACCTCATCAAATGCCCCGTCCTTAGCTACATCATTGACAATCACATAAGAGAGTTTCTCCTTCGACACGTCGGGGTGAGCCTCAATAATCCGTTTGCCCTTCTCCTCCGATCGGACAGTAACAACTGTGTCAAAACTAGAGCAAAATTGTCAACCAACAATATGTATGTGATGTCTATGTGGCCAAATCATACCCGCGCTGTAGCAGAATGTCGATAATGTGGGCGGCGATGAAGCCACTGCCTCCTAAAACAGATAATTAGATTCGGTTCGAGGACATATTAACATTACATACCAGTCAAGAGAACTTTAACCATTGTGAATGATGACTTATAGAGCTAAAGATGTATGAAATGTTCAAGGATTAGGATAGATAGGTAAAAGAGCGAGGAACCTGGCTTTTATGGTTCCCCTCACTCCCGTCATTCCCCGCAGCCTATTACAGCCTGGAAACCTTGGGAGCTTGACCAGCGATTACAAATACCTAGGTATAAGCATCGGTGTTTAATGGAGTTAAGATCTTAATGTTATCCTCGGACAGCCTATTTTCTTGCACTTTACAGTACATGATTCAATCCCAGCCCCCTTTATATGTAGGCAGTACTCTCTATGACTGTATAATATCTATTTATTATTGACCCCATTCAATTTAATAGATGTCGAGGTTAATAGGTAGCACTAGACTGCTTATATGCTCAGTCTTGATGGTGGAAGTATAGTTCTTGGGCATGAAATGGTATACCGTCATGGTCCTATGGACTATATAAAGTACATAGGTAAGTATTAATAAAATGATTTCAGCTAACTAGTTATATATGGATCCAAAGTACCTACTTACCATTCGCACCAGTCGCAAGATATCCCCTATGAAAAGGGTATCATATGGTAGCTGTTCAAGTTACGACTACGAACAAATTCACCAGGCCATAAGTCCTCTGATTGGCTAGATATTTCAAGATCACGTTTTCTTTTGCCAAGAAAGAGTTGTTTCTTTTTACGCAGCACTATTAGGGTCCGTAGTCAGTAGTGATACTAGTAAACCACTAGATCCTTCTAGTTATAGTTTATCTCTCCCTGCCTTCTCTATCTTCAATTCCTGCTCGAATTGTGCTCTTCTTCATTTCTCCGTCTGTAGCCAATAGCAGAGTTACCTACATATATTTTGTTTCTCTGTGCTGTCGATACGCCTCCAATGCTCGTATTACCAAGATGTCTCTCAACAACGACATTTTTCTCCTTATCAGTGAGCAGCTAGATGACCAAAGCGATCAACTCAATCTTTTACTGGTATGCCGTGGTTGGTATTCGATCTTCCTCCCGAAAGCATACAAAACAATCTCTGTTGAAGCCCCCCAAATCTATCCTCTTTCCCGCGCCGTTCGAAACAATCCTAGAATAGGTACTGCCATCCAAAATCTGAGTGTTGATTGGTGCCACTCCGAGTCAGAACTTGGGAATGATTACGACGTCGATGGGCTTGTGGAAACCTTGAAGCAAGTGGGCGACGCTGCAGATGATCTTGCCGCATGGGAAGAAAGTCTGCGGACAGGATGCCCTGATGCCTGGCTCGCAGTGTTTGTGCTATCGCTCGAGTCTATCAAGAGTATGACTCTGAGATTTTCACACTCGCCCTATTTCCTACCCATGGTAACGCGAATCGCCGCCAATGGAAATCTACCCAGCCCGAAGTCAGCTCTCCAATCCCTAGAAAGCGTGGACATCTGGGTGGACGATCATATGGAATACTACCTGGCGCATGAACTACTGCCATTCTTCTATCTTCCCGCAATGCGAGTGTTCACTGCAGGGGGGTCTGTGAAGTTGACCCCGGTATCGCGTCACTTAAGCCGGGGACCTCTACGATCAGGGAAATCGATCTTGGTCACTCTAATACGAATAACGGGGGCAACGGGTTCGCCGAATACATCATTTCGTGTGCCAATTTGGAGATCTTCGACTATCAGCACGACAACAAAAGCATATGGGGTGAAGTCTACAAAGAGTTTTGCCCTCTTCTATTCTACAACGCACTATGTTCCCAAAAGCACAGCCTTCGGGAACTTCGATTGAATAATAATGGAGAGACTGGAGACAGCGGGTTTGATGAAGACACCGAGGAATTTAATGGGTTTGGATCTCTAGCCGAATTCCACCAGCTACGTGAGCTTCGGATGCCATTGCGCACACTTTTGCAATTTGGCTCAAGCGATCAGCCGGAAGTATCTCTCCTGGAAGTTCTTCCACCAAGCCTAGAATTGCTCAATCTTGCTCACTATCACGAGGAGGACTTCGACATTGTCAATAAGAATCTTCAGGCTATGCTAGCACAACGAGAGCGGCTCCCGAATCTCAAAAGAATTGAGATCCAGCCTTACACTTTGGTGATGACTGCAGGGGCTATCGTTCACTCAACAAACTTCAGAGTTCAAGAGTCAACACAACAATCCTTCCTGCCATTTGACATGGCCTGTCGAGAAATGGGAATTCAGTTTGGCTTCAGCAAGGAGGGCAGTTATAGCTTGATCACCGTATGATACATACAATTGGGCGCAGACAAAAAGCGAAGAATTGATCATGCCTGAATGTGTACCAAGTGCAAATCACGAAAGACAGAAAACATCATGTGGCCGGTTAATTAGACTCAATCAAACTCAACACAGCAAAGTGGTATCTAGCACGGATCAAGGAACCATAAAAGGCTACAGACCATGTTGCTAGAGCACTTCGCACCATGAGAAACCCACTTGTGGCCAAACACCATGTACATGTAGCTGGCAATCGGTCATCTCCCCCTCTTCCCACGCAGTCATCTCACCCACCCCAGGTCGGCGTCGACTCGTGCCACTCACTCCGACAGCCACCACATGAGCGGCTCACACACCCAAACGATCCTACTACAAATGACCTCCCGCAACATGACTGGGCTAGCAACAACATACAATGCTTTATAAGTGCAGCTCACTGACACAAAATTATAACCAAGAGCAGGAAAACGGCGAATGGGATCCATAGGCTAGAGGAACCCCAGCAGCACAGCTTGCCAGTCGATCAATGATCAAATGAATCCGGCTGAGAATTGCGTCATGAAAATGGATACCCCGATTTGAAGCCAAGAAAGGAATTCCTTGATATTATTCCAGCTTTCGGAAGAAAATGGCCACAAGGTGATTGTGGGGATCGTGGTAAGATGTACGCCGAAGATTCTCATTGTTTCCTTCAAGAGGGCGTGCGAATACACTAGCAGCAAGTCACTACTCTCCAGTGTGTCCCTCCTCTCCAGTAGCGACTTCGGGAGTGTGGTGATGATTCTCAGTAGGAGGTTCAGTATCTCTCCATCCATCAAGGCCCCATAAACGATAGAGACTCAATGAACTCTTTTGTCTGCAGGAGCCTTCACAGTAAGTCACCTTCTCTTTGCAAGTCCCTGGAATCTGTGAGGGTCTCACGTAAATATAGAGGTGGATAGTGTCTCGATATAACAATCAATATGACGAACAAGTATAGTTGACTCTTGATACAATACGTAGGGCGAGGAAGCACACGAGACAGGCTTCCTCACCATCAGGGGAACCCATATAACTTCTACTTGGAAATCTCAATAATACCAGACAAGAAAAGTGGCAATTTATACGGCCTATCCTTGTAATTATATTTATACTGCAATGTCTTTTTTTATATGAACAATATGGTAAAGGCACACATAAAGGCTGTCAGGATTATGTACGCGAACGGATCGTTTGAGTGACGTATTTGATGATGAAGATAATATGACTAGATTTTCAGACACATTTATATCCGAAAACAAGATGTTATCTGAAGTATACTAGACAACAAGGTCAAAATAAGTATAAAGATAGTATGTAGTGATTACTTATAGAGTGGTTGTAGATGGTCGAGGTTAGGGTCGCACGCGGGAACTCCAAACCTGGCCCGTGCACCCCTCGACCTTCTCCAAGCCTCACACATGACCCTCCCTCTACCATCCAACTTTATGCGCTCTGCGTGTTTTTATTTTATGGCCTAGACCTTGTATTCCAATGTCCACCCTGGGGTGTGATTCGCAAATATGGCACAAGCAGGTGCAATCACAGATGTGACCCAAAGGTTGTTCGTGGAGCTCAAGTCAAAGAATGAGGAGGCCAGGGCCAGAGCTGCCTATGAGCTCTACGAGAATGTCCTATCCGTGTCTAGAGGTATTACCGGTTGAACTCGGAAACCTCTAACTAGCTGACATATCTCCTTGTATAGATTGGCCTTCGGAGAAGTTCGTGGAATTTTACAACGCCGTTAGCCAACGCATCGCCCAACTCGTCGTTAACGGCAGCGATGCAAACGAAAGAATCGGCGGCTTGTTAGCACTCGATCGGCTCATTGATTTTGACGGTGTCGATGCCGCTCAGAAAACGACGAGATTTGCCAGTTACTTGCGCAGCGCCCTTCGCAGCAATGATAACGTGGTCCTGGTGTATGCGGCCCGATCGCTGGGCCGCCTCGCGAAGCCCGGCGGGGCTCTAACCGCAGAACTGGTGGAAAGCGAAATACAATCTGCATTAGAATGGTTACAATCGGAGCGCCAGGAAAGTCGGCGGTTTGCAGCAGTGCTTGTTATTCGGGAACTGGCCAAGGGCTCACCAACACTCCTCTACGGCTTCGTTCCGCAGGTCTTTGAGCTTGTCTGGGTTGCCCTTCGAGACCCGAAAGTCCTTATCCGTGAGACTGCGGCTGAGGCCGTCGGTGAATGCTTTGAAATAATCGTGGCTCGTGACTCTCAAGTTCGTCAATCATGGTTTGCACGGATACACGATGAAGCACTTCTCGGTTTGAAGTCCCATAACATTGATTGGATCCATGGATCCATTTTGATCATCAAAGAGTTGATCTTGAAGGGCACGATGTTCATGAAAGAGCATTACCGGAATGCTTGCGAAATCATCCTCCGTCTCAAGGACCATCGTGACCCGAAGATTCGCACCGAAGTTGTCCTCACTATCCCCATTCTTGCCTCATATGCCCCTTCCGATTTCACTGAGATATATCTACACAAATTCATGGTCTACCTGCAAGCGCAACTCAAGAGAGACAAAGAGAGGAACTCCGCCTTCATTGCCATTGGAAAGATTGCAAATGCAGTGGGCACCGCTATCGGCCAATATCTCGATGGCATCATTATCTACATTCGAGAGGGGCTTGCAATGAAGGCGAGGAATCGATCAGGAGTTAACGAGGCGCCAATGTTTGAGTGCATCAGCATGCTGTCCCTCGCAGTGGGACAGGCGCTTAGCAAGTACATGGAAGCTCTTCTGGATCCCATCTTTGCCTGCGGTCTGAGCAAATCATTAACACAGGCTTTAGTCGACATGGCCCACTACATTCCTCCCATCAAACCTATGATCCAGGAAAAGCTTCTTGATATGCTGAGTATCATCCTTTGTGGGACGCCGTTCCGGCCCCTCGGATGTCCTGAAAACCGATTACCTCCTATGCCATCATTCGCAAAAGACTTTGCACCCCACGAGCTTCACTCTGATTCTGATATCGCATTAGCACTTCACACATTAGGGAGTTTTGACTTCTCTGGGCACATACTAAATGAGTTCGTGCGTGATGTTGCTATCAACTATGTGGAAAATGATAATCCCGAAATTCGAAAAGCCTCAGCTCTCACGTGCTGTCAGCTGTTCGTTCATGATCCGATCATCAACCAAACCAGTGGACACTCCATTCAAGTTGTGAGCGAGGTTATTGACAAGCTCTTGACTGTGGGTATTGGAGACCCTGATCCTGAAATTCGACGCACCGTGTTGTGGTCGTTGGACCGCAAATTTGATCGGCACTTAGCACGACCAGAGAATATTCGATGCTTGTTCTTAGCAGTGAATGATGAGGTCTTCGATGTCAAAGAAGCCGCGATCTGCATTATCGGTCGACTTTCCAGCGTCAACCCAGCTTATGTCTTCCCACCACTACGAAAACTGCTGGTCAATCTTCTCACTGGCCTTGGCTTCGCGAATACCGCCCGCCAAAAGGAAGAAACAGCCCAACTCATCAGCCTGTTTGTCTCTAATGCGACGAAGTTGATCAGGTCTTACGTTGATCCCATGGTGACCGCACTGTTGCCCAAATCAACTGACATTAATCCTGGTGTTGCTGCCACTACTCTGAAGGCTGTCGGTGAGCTCGCCAATGTCGGCGGCCATGAGATGAGACAATATCTGCCGCAGATTATGCCAATTATTTTGGACTCACTCCAGGATCTTTCGTCGCATAACAAACGAGAAGCCGCGCTTCGGACATTGGGCCAGTTGGCCAGTAATTCAGGCTACGTTATCGAGCCATACATGGAGTACCCCCATCTTCTCGCCGTGCTCATCAATATCATCAAAACGGAACAGACAGGCTCTCTACGCAAGGAGACCATCAAGCTTCTCGGAGTCCTTGGTGCCCTCGATCCCTACAAATACCAACAAATTAGCGAGATTGAACCTGATGTGCACCATATCAACGAAATACAGAATGTTTCTGATGTTGCCCTCATTATGCAGGGTCTCACGCCCTCCAATGAGGAGTATTATCCCACGGTGGTCATCCATACTTTGATGCAGAATATTCTGCGAGAAAACTCCCTGGCACAATATCACTCAGCTGTCATTGATGCCATCGTCACGATTTTCAAGACTCTGGGTTTGAAGTGTGTCCCATTCCTTGGCCAGATCATTCCAGGGTTCATCTTGGTTATCAGAAGTGCCCCTGCTAGTCGCCTTGAGTCCTATTTCAATCAGATGGCAATCCTGGTGAATATCGTGCGGCAACATATTCGCACTTTCTTGCCAGAGATAATCGAGGTTATTAGAGATTTCTGGGATACTTCATATCAAATTCAGGGCACGATTATATCCTTGGTTGAGGCGATTGCTAGGTCGTTGGAAGGAGAATTCAGGAAGTATCTTGCTGGCCTGATCCCTTTGATGCTGGATACGCTTGATAAAGACACATCGCCTCGTCGACAGCCCTCCGAGAAGATTCTTCATGCTCTTTTGATTTTCGGCACAAGCGGAGAGGAATATATGCACCTGATCATTCCTTCCATTGTTCGTTTGTTTGATCGGCCACAAAACCCTCAGAGCATCCGCAAATCCGCTATCGATAGCCTGACAAAACTATCGCGACAAGTTAATGTCTCTGACTTTGCATCCCTGATGATTCATTCCCTGTCACGACTCGTGGCTAGCGGTGATCGTGTGTTGCGTCAAGCCGCGATGGACTGCATTTGTGCTCTCATTTTCCAGCTCGGACAGGACTTCACGCATTACATCCATCTTCTAAACAAGGTGCTGAAAACCAATCAGATCACGCATGTCAACTACCAAATCCTGGTATCAAAACTACAGAAGGGCGACCCACTCCCGCAGGACCTCAATCCAGAAGAGGTTTACTCTTTCCCCACTGATGACACCAACTTTTCCGAAATTGGACAAAAGAAGATTGTTGTGAACCAGCAACATCTCAAGAACGCGTGGGATGCTTCGCAAAAGTCCACTCGTGAGGATTGGCAGGAGTGGATACGCCGTTTCAGCATTGAGCTGTTGAAGGAATCTCCATCCCCGGCATTACGTGCGTGTGCTAGCTTGGCAGGAATCTACCAGCCGCTCTCAAGGGACCTTTTCAATGCTGCTTTTGTCTCGTGCTGGACAGAGTTGTATGATCAATACCAAGAAGAGCTCGTCCGCTCAATTGAAAAGGCGCTTACTTCTCCCAACATCTCCCCAGAGATTTTGCAAATTCTCCTCAATCTGGCCGAGTTCATGGAGCACGATGACAAGGCTCTTCCCATCGACATCCGCACTCTTGGAAAGTATGCTGCAAAGTGTCATGCTTTTGCCAAAGCTCTTCACTACAAAGAACTCGAGTTCGAACAAGATCAGAACTCGGGTGCAGTTGAAGCCTTGATTACCATTAACAACCAGCTTCAACAGTCCGATGCTGCCATTGGCATCCTTCGCAAAGCGCAGGCGTATCGTGATGTGGAGCTTAAGGAAACGTGGTTCGAGAAGCTTCAACGGTGGGACGAAGCCCTTGCTGCTTACAAGCGACGCGAGAAGACGGATCCAGACTCATTTGGTATCACAATGGGTAAGATGCGCTGTTTGCACGCTCTTGGCGAGTGGAAGGTTCTCTCGGACCTTGCTCAAGAAAAGTGGAACCAAGCATCACTCGAGCATCGCCGAGCTATTGCACCTCTTGCCGCTGCCGCTGCCTGGGGTCGAGGCCAGTGGGAGTTGATGGACTCTTACCTTGGTGTCATGAAAGAGCAGTCTCCAGATCGCTCATTCTTTGGCGCCATTCTGGCAATCCATCGTAACCAATTCGAAGAGGCCAACATGTACATTGAGAAGGCTCGCAATGGTCTCGATACCGAATTGTCTGCTCTTCTCGGCGAGTCATACAATCGTGCTTACAATGTTGTTGTCCGGGTCCAGATGCTCGCTGAGCTGGAAGAGATCATCACATATAAGCAAAACATCGGCGACCCCGAAAAGCAAGATGCGATGCGTAAAACTTGGAATCAACGATTGCTTGGATGTCAGCAAAACGTGGAAGTGTGGCAGCGTATGCTCAAGGTCAGGGCTCTTGTCACTGCCCCGCGTGAGAATCTTGATATGTCCATCAAGTTCGCCAATCTCTGTCGCAAGTCCAATCGCATGGGTCTTGCGGAGCGGTCCCTTGCATCTCTAGAGACAGTGGTATCCGATGCCAATGGCACACGCACTGTTGCACCACCCGAAGTCACATACGCCAGGCTGAAATTCAGTTGGGCAAATGGTCACCAACTAGAATCTCTTGAAATGATGAAGGAGTTTACCTCTGGTCTGACCGATGATTTCTCCAGATACAACACACTTATGGTATCAAATGCCGATCATCATGGCGCGAATGGAGTCAACGGGGTTGTCGATCAGAACCAGCCAGACGCTATCAGCCTGAATGAACGGATTGGTGATGCCAACAAATTCAGAAAACTTCTATCCAAGAGCTATCTTAGACAGGGAGAGTGGCAGACAACTCTACAAAGGGGTGATTGGAGGCCAGAACACGTCCGAGAGGTTCTCAACGCCTACTCGGCAGCAACCCAATACAACCGCGATTCATACAAGGCGTGGCACTCCTGGGCACTTGCGAACTTCGAAGTTGTTACAACGATTTCCAACCAAGCTAGCCGTGAGGGCATGCCTACGCCGGTTCCTGCTCATATTGTTACAGAGCATGTGATTCCTGCCATTCGCGGATTCATTCGCTCCATCGCTTTGTCCTTGACATCTTCGCTGCAAGACACCTTGAGATTGCTCACTCTGTGGTTCAATCATGGCGGAGATCATGAGGTGAATACTGTCGTCACGGAAGGATTTACAGCTGTCAATATTGACACTTGGCTTGCTGTCACTCCTCAACTTATCGCTCGAATCAATCAGCCCAATATCAGGGTCAGGGGTGCGGTACATAGGTTGCTTGCCGAGGTTGGCAAAGCGCATCCTCAAGCCCTCGTGTATCCATTGACGGTGGCAATGAAATCGAACGTGACTCGGCGCTCTCAATCTGCTAGCAACATCATGGAAAGTATGCGGCAACATAGCGCCAAACTTGTCGAGCAAGCAGATCTTGTGAGTCATGAGCTTATCCGAGTTGCGGTCTTGTGGCATGAACTCTGGCATGAAGGTCTCGAAGAAGCCTCTCGTCTCTATTTCGGTGACCACAATGTTGAAGGCATGTTCTCAACACTCGCCCCATTCCATGATATGCTAGACAAGGGTGCTGAGACCCTTCGTGAGGTGTCTTTTGCGCAAGCTTTCGGTCGTGATCTGGCTGAAGCCAAGCACTACTGCATGATGTATCGTGAATCGGAGGAAATCGGCGATCTCAACCAAGCTTGGGATTTGTATTACACTGTGTTCCGCAAGATCAGCCGACAACTGCCACAGCTATCCACTCTCGATCTCAAATACGTGTCTCCTCGACTTAAAGATTGCTCAGATCTTGACCTTGCTGTTCCGGGTACATACCAGAGTGGTAAGCCAGTCATTCGAATCATGAGCTTTGACCCGATCTTGCATGTCTTGCAGACAAAGAAACGACCGCGTCGCATGACGCTCAAGGGCAGCAACGGTAGCTCTTACATGTACCTTGTCAAGGGTCATGAAGATATCCGACAAGATGAGCGTGTTATGCAACTGTTCGGCCTGTGTAATACCTTGTTGGATAATGATGGCGAGAGTTTCAAGCGGCACTTGTCGGTCCAGCGCTTCCCTGCTATTCCATTGTCTCAGAGCTCTGGTCTGCTGGGATGGGTGTCCAACAGTGATACATTACATGCCTTGATCAAGGAATATCGTGAAAGTCGTCGGATTCTACTCAACATCGAGCATCGGATCATGCTTCAAATGGCGCCCGACTACGATAGCCTTACTCTCATGCAGAAGGTCGAAGTCTTCGGATACGCTATGGACAACACGACCGGCAAAGATTTGTACCGTGTGCTATGGCTCAAGAGTAAGAGCTCCGAGGCATGGCTCGAACGCCGTACGAACTACACCCGATCCCTCGGTGTTATGTCTATGGTCGGCTACATCCTTGGTCTGGGAGACAGGCATCCGTCGAACTTGCTGCTGGATCGTGGTAATGGCCGTGTGGTTCATATCGACTTTGGTGATTGCTTCGAGATCGCAATGCACCGAGAGAAGTACCCGGAGCGAGTTCCGTTCCGACTTACTCGCATGTTGACATTCGCCATGGAAGTCAGCAATATTGAGGGTAGCTACCGCATCACTTGCGAGGCTGTCATGCGTGTTCTACGAGAGCACAAGGATTCCTTGATGGCGGTCTTGGAGGCTGTAAGTGACCTGATTCCTTCCCGTTCTAGAACGACACCCACTAACCTTTTTAATTTTCTAGTTCATCCACGACCCTCTAATCAACTGGCGTCTGGGTACACAAGAGTCGTCCCCCGACCGGGTGTCTCTCACTGCGGATCGCCGCCAGTCCATCATGGAAGGTGTCAATTTCGAACCCGGCACCCAGCCACCGGGCGAATTCTCCCGTCGCCGCCGCCCGTCCATGCTTGAAGGTGGTATTCTGGATGCCCCAGAAGGCGTTCCACAAGAAGCCCGCGAGGCACAGAATGCCCGTGCTCTGCAGGTTCTCGCCCGAGTCAAAGAGAAGCTTACTGGACGAGACTTCAGAAATAATGAAGAGCTGAGTGTCAGCGACCAGGTGGACAAGCTCATTGCGCAGGCAACCAATGTTGAGAATATCTGTCAACACTGGATTGGGTGGTGTAGCTTCTGGTAATCGACTTTGCTCTTGGAGTTCTACGGAGATGATGATGTGATATGATGCGTTTTGTTTCGATTCCTCACTTGTATTTAGAGTTAACCCCCGGTATTTGTTTTTGTCTTGTTCGTTCTCTAAATTATCCCACTACACCTATAATGCTTCTGGTTTATGGTTGATTCTGCCTCCTTGGTAATTGTTTGAGGTTGTATGAATATCTATATGAATATCTAGACTTCTTTTTTGCAGGTTAAATGCCAAAAGAGAAAACCCCCGTTTTATTATTCCATTTATCTTCAACATAAAATTCACAGAACAAATTTCATGTTGTAGTCTGTTACCACGTGATCACATGATCAGTGGCGATTGAGCTTTGGATTTACCGTGCCCGGGGTGGACCTTCGGACATAGCGACTTACTCATACCACCTTTTTTTTTAACTGTATTCTTCGAATTTCCAAGCATCATGGGTGGAGATTTGAACCTGAAGAAGTAAGTAACGAGCCCTGACTTCAATATCTACCGCAAGAGAGAAGCATAACACTAACCGTCCAACCAGGTCATGGCACCCAGGCTTGCTCAAGAACCAGGAGCGCGTATGGCTGCAAGAGAAGCGCGCTCTCGAAGAGCGCAAACAGATCACGAAACTCCAACGTGAGCGTGAGGAGGAGCGCCAGATGGAAGAGATCCAGCGCCTCCAAGAAGCCTCCGGAAATACAAAGCAACACCGCCGTGTCGACTGGATGTACCAGGCGCCCTCGACCGCGAGCGGGCACTACTCCGAGGAGATGGATGGATATCTACTGGGAAAGCGACGCATCGACGGAGTTCTCCTGAAGAACGACCCTGACACCAAGAAGTTGGAGAAGGGTTCGGAGTTGGTGGGCAATGGTGTCGCGGCCGGCCCGTCTATTGGCTCGGCGCGCGATACTATGTCGAAGGTTATGGCGGACCCGCTACTCGAAGTGAAAAAGAGAGAACAGGCGGCTTACGAGGCGATGGTGAAAGAGACGCTCAGACGCAAGGAAAGAGAGAAGGAGCGTGGAGATCGCGATCGGGGAAAGGATCGTGAACGTCGCCATCGTACCCATGACTCAAAGCGCAGACGCTACAGTGATGATGCTGGTGATGACCGCCGTGACCGCCACCACCGAAGATCTTCACCTCGACGACACAGATCTAGATCTAGATCACCCGTTTCGCCTGATCGATCTTCGCGCAGACACAGAAGTGACCGTGATCGTGAACGTCGTGACGACGAATACCGCCCAGACAACCGTGATCGGAGAAGCGACGATCACCGATCCCGCCGGGACGATAGGGACCGGGGCCGAGACCGTCGCGACTACCAAGACAAGCGAGACAGGGGCTCTTACTCTAGCCGACACCAAGATCGCGAAGACAGAGGTGGACGAGACCGCTCACCAACCCGGAATTCCCGATCTCCTCGTCCATCTAGTGATCGCAGAGAACGCCCCACCGCTGACGAAGATCGCCGCCGCGACTTCCCCGGCGCGAATACAATAATCGGCGTGACTCTGGTCGGGCCATGGGGCCACCCTCGGCCCGCGCGCCAGCAAACAAGCCTGATCCTAGGGAACTGGAAGAAGAACGTCGTCGCAAGTTGGCAGAGATGCAAAGCAACGCCACAGAAATCGAGTCGGAGCGACGCGAGCGAATCGAGGAGATCTCTGCCAAGGAGCAAGAACAGCGCGAGGCTGACGACCGGCTGCGTTCAGACCGGGGCAGGTTCATGTCTGATGTCAATAAGCGAGTACAGGAGGATACTCTTGATGAACGCATTCGGCGTAGCCGTGGTGGACTTGCGAAGATGGAGGAGGATTAAGACTGTCTTGGTTTCTACGTCGGACTGGGAATTTGCCGTTACTTCGGAGTCTACATTCATGGTTCCTTGTTCTTTTTTTTTTTAGCGTTATCAGAAGTTTTGATACACATGTCAATGATATCCACTGTTCAAGCTTTTTACTCTGCCCGTGTATCACGGCATCCAATTCCCTTATTCTTCTGGGCATCTGGGAGGTTAAGGAAGACATCGCCGCCCCCTGCCCCCACGGGAAGCACAGTTCACTACATTGCGTTTCGAGTAACTGCGGTCACTCTTCTTCCGTCACTCTTCTTCCGTTTGTATTCATTTCGGAACGACCAGCACTCTGCCACGGGGGCGATCCCTCCTAGATTTCAAGAAGGCTTGGTGTCACCGCCTCTTCCGACTACATTACTTTTCCGCGGAGTCTTCTTCATTTGAAATGTTCCCGTGATTGAGATTGAATGAACTGTCTCAGTCAGTGCTATGGCTATAATCCGGACGTCCACTAACATCCTTCGTCGTTGTCAGAATCATGTTTCCCACCATTTGCTTTGCTTATTCGGACTAGCTGTTGGCTAGTGGCATGTAACTAGGTAGTGAATAGTTACTTTGCAGACAATCACAGCTGAAATTTCTAAAAGTTGGCCTTTGAAGCACTCGATGTACTCGAGCTCATACGAGACAATTGTCAGGAATATCTCATGATTAATATTTCATGATAGTTGGGATAATCTGACTTACGCTGGGGCGGGCATCAATGGCTCCTTCTTCAAGACAACAAAGGTTCTTTCCCAAATTATACATCTACCTCGTCGGGTCGAATGTGCTGACATCATCAAGCCCTAACTCTCCAGGGCTTGACATTGTTCTAATATTCTAATATACATGAATGTCACTACGTAGCCCGGCACTTGGAAACAATCTACTGGAACTGATCGTCCAACTTTTCAACCTTGGTACCCAACCCTTTCACATCATCTTTAGTCATATCCCTCCTAGCAGTACCCATGTATGTGAAACTGTCCGGGTCTCGCATGCGCACCAGCAGCCTTACCCGTCGGGACTGCCCCTGGTCGAGTTGGGGATAGCAAACGGGTGAATCCAGGAGTTGCCTAATCAGGCCTGATTGAATGCATACTCCCTTCTGCAAACGGAGGAAGGGGATATATATATCTAGCTAGTCACCCGGCCTATCCTATCCTTCTCTCTCACTCAATAAGATTCCAGATTGACAAGTACCAACACCGTAGATGTTGATACGGAACAAGCTCCAGGCAAACGCGGATCCCTACCCGTCGAACGCTCTTACGTGGTGAGCCGTTGTAGCGGTGAAGCTATGAAGCACATTCTGAAGACAAAAGATCGGCGCGACCAACCGATACTATAACACGAATGAAATCTTCGAGCACCTGGATAGCATTTACGGCGATCCGAACCGACTGGTGAACGCGAAGCGAAGCTACCACCTATTGGTCATGAGGAAGGGAGGTAAGTTCGGACCATTCCTTTCCGAATTCCGGTACCTAACTAGCAGACGAGGCCCAAGTGGACATCGACAGTCGGAAAGAGGACCTCAAACCTCAATGCCACCTGTATTCCATACCATAGGCAGTCATCAACTGGCGACGGTGGGTTCGTGAAGAAAGCCCCGATGCTGGAGGGTCTTATGACCCCCTGCCAAACACGGTGACTACCCTTAGTCACGTCCGTGTAAGCCATATATCCCTATAGAGACGACGACATACCGGTGCTGCTGGAACGACAACAACATAGGCAAGGGATATGGCTTACACGGACGTGACCAAGGGCGTCACCGTGTTTGGCAGGGGGTCATAAGACCCTCCAGGGTCTCTGGCGCATCGGGGCTTTCTTCACGAACCCGCCGTCGCCAGTTGACGACCGCCTATGGTATGGAGTACAGGTGGCATTGAGGTTTGATCCAGACGATGAAGCCGACTGGCCAGTCGGCCAGTTGGTAACTGAACCAAGGAATAGTGATGGGATGCCATCTTGGGATCTTCAACTATGGGACAAATTGACAATACAGTGAGGATATTGACTTTATTATGCGTAGACTAGTGCTTTTTCAGCCACTTATACACCAGGTTTGCGATCTCAAGGTTATTCTTCTCCATGAAGAACATATGCCCGTTGCCATGAATGCCCTCTTTACCTAGATCCGCGTACTCAACGTCTACACCAACTTGCTTCAGATACTTGACGGTGCAGTAATCGTATGGCGCATGGAACGATGCTTCGCCAGTAACAACAAGCTCTGGGATTTTGGCCAGGTTCGTCAATTGCTTCGCTGGGGACTTCTGCATAATACACTCTTCATGATCAGCGTCGATTGCTGGCTCGATCGTTGTGTCAATATTTTCGGCATTCTCGCCTGCAGACGGTTCGTATCCGATTTCGAGGTCAGTGAGACCGAAAGCGAAAGCCGGGTCATTTCCAAACGGTGGGCGGAACGTGAACGGTGGACCAGACGGCTCGAGCTGGACAATACCCTTTACTTGGTCTGGACGCATGTCTCCAACCCTCCAGCCTACTCAATCGTTAACCACTTGAGCAAGTCATAGTGTTTGGCTGAAGATACTGACTGTATGCACCCGCCTGCGAATGACTGATGATATAGCAGTCGCCTACGAGGTCGACTAGAGCTGAATATGCCTGCGCATTTTGTTCTTCGCTTATCAAGTTGTCGGTCTGGAACTGCACCTGGCTTCTATAGAAAGTGTCGAAAGTTGAGTCGCCAATGCGACCGGTGCCAGGCCATTGTGTGTGAAGCTTCGCCTGTGGCCATTGGTTGCCGTTGTTTGCTCCGTCGGTAAAAATATCGGAGACAGAATTGGGGGGGGCCAATGGACCCCATACTTCCCTGTCCGGAAAACCAGAAGGAGCGGCCGCGTTCCGGCTGGTCTGAGAGGTAGACTGTGTGGCCTTTGGAAATAAAATAAGATGCCCATCCTGGCCGTCCGTCTGGAGTATCAAGGAAATTGGTGCCGGTCTGGGCCATTCCTGCAATGAAGATAATAGGAAGTGGTGGGTTTGCCGGGGCTGGCTTCGGGGAAAGCTTCTCTACGTAAATTTGCCCTATCATAGCCAGTGATGTAGCATTGGTTGCATTGTCCTGTTTTGCAATCTTAGATAGGCATAGAGCTAGTTGGAATCAAGACTTGCTGTGATGTTCGTGTATCGTCCACCAACGTAGAGAGCTTCACGCTTAGGAACAATGTCCCTAAGCTGGGAACTATGAGTATGCACATTGCCTCCTACAAAAGCGACTTGTGTCAAATGTGTGAGAGAAGTCAAGGTACTAAATTTGACCATATTAACTGAATTCTGCGAGAAGTGCAAAGACCCTGAGAAGGAGACGTTTGTATGTTGTAGGGAGAAGAACAGCGTGAGGTAAAAAAGTATCCGTGCCTTGCGGCCTACATACCTTACATCCACACCGCTTCTAGCTTAAGGCGATCTTATATAAATCGACGATGTTGATAGTCTGACCAATGTAAGAGAAGAGGGGTATGGCATGTAATTATCTATCTTTCCGGTGTGCAGAATGCAGTATGATGTACATAAAATAATAGAAGAAAAGGAAGAAAACACGAAATATCATCTCTCCAATCCCTCCAAGGGACAAATTGCTCAATCACTGACATCGAAACTTGTCCCGCAACCGCAGTTACTTGTTGCGCGGGGGTTATCCACAATACTGAACTGACTCCCGATCAACTCGGTGGTATAGTCCACAGTGCTACCGTGCAGCAGCTCGAGCGAGGGCTCATCCATAACGACCTTAGCCTCGCCAGCTGACTCTGTTGCAGCTTCATCTGCTTCTCCTTCGAACACGGTATCCTCTTCAGGGTCAATTTTAGAAGACCCTTCTAGGGACATCATATATTGGAAACCATGGCATCCGCCGCTGGTAACTGTGATGCGAAGATGGTGGTATGGATTCTCTTCCTTGGTAGCGGAGGGAGAGGAGGTTGGGTTTGTGATATCGCGAAGACGCTGCGCTGGGTTAGCTTCATGATTCACAAATCGACAAAAACATAAACAAAGCTTCTCAAAAGGAAGGGGAAGTAAGATGAAGAGAAAAAAAAAACATGCAACAGTGAGGATTCGCTGGTGGTCACCCACCCAACTACTAACTCACCGGCGTGTGGCTTAAGTACGGCTGAGCGGACGGGAAGCCCTGTTTTCCACACCCTATGGTCGCATGTGTTTGAAAGAGCATCTGAAGGACCCAAGGCGCGGCCATGCGGTCGTCCCATGTCGGCTGAAAGCAAGCCGACACCGATACAGACCCCCGGGCACTTGAGCATACAGCCGATACATCTTCCCACCCGTCCCAGCACAAGCCAGAGAGAAGAACGAAGCTAAAGCAAGCAAACCAAATGCAAAGAAATTCATTATCAACTCACCTCGACGGCCCGTGGTGAGATACCAATCATGAGGGATTGTCCATCATCTCCGATTCTCGGGTTTTGCGTCACCTTGGTGGCAGGGCGGAAGGACGAGGAGGAAAAACACGCATTCTGCTGGCGGATATAGCGAGGGGTTGAGGATTGAGAGGCTGGGCTCTTGAAAGGAGCTGCACTACTTGCGACAGTGCTTGACCGGCGAGGAACGACTTCGCCGCCGGGGAATGCGGAGAGGCGCAAGGCCGGTCGGGAAGTTGAGAAGAGTCGGCACTTCTGTGGTTGGGATAACCGCCGGATGGCTGTGGATGAGAATATAGGGCGTGACATGGTTTATGTGTGAATGAATGAAATATTTCAAGAAGAGAAAGCAAAGAGATGAAGAACACTTGATATCAAATCATTCCATTCCGCCCGGGCGATTACATCGGGTTAGTCAGTTTATAAGTGACGCCATTGGTCAGATAAAGTCGGAGGTCATTGGCAGAATAATATCCCTATCAGGAAGGGATCGGCGGATGGTGGGGGACTGCAGATATATGTTATCAGCCTTCCAACGCTGTATGACTCTCTGCTAAAGCTCCAATCTGCTAGAGCTCTCAGCTTTGCGAGGAATACACCCACATCCTAGGAGCTATCTGAATCTATACCTACCATCATGGGCTCCCGGCAGCATGTTCGGGACATCAAAAGCGGCACCCCGCTTCCCTATACAGATGATATCAGAGCTTACAAGAAAGAGTATGCCGAAGCTCTTGATGCTCAAGATCCGCTTCGAAGTTTCCGAGACGAGTTTATTATCCCATCCAAGAAGGATCTCAAGCGGAAGACCCTAGCAGTAGACGAAAGTGCGTATGAGGATCTCTTATTTGTCCACATGTCCGTTCTAATCTTTGGCTTTCTTCCTTTTCATTAGAACATGAGGCATCTGATGAAAAATGCATCTACTTCTGTGGTAATTCACTTGGGGTTCAACCTTGTAGCACGCAGAAATATATCGAGCAGTACCTGCGAACTTGGGCAACGAAAGGCGTGACCGGCCACTTTGTGCCGCATGACGATCAATTGTTGCCTCCTTTTGTCGACGTCGACAGCGCAGCCTCCAAGCTTATGGCTTCAATTGTCGGTGCCTCTCAAAGTGAAGTGGCAGTTATGGGCACCTTGACTGCCAATCTGCACCTGCTAATGGCAAGCTTCTATCGCCCGACCAAAGAAAAGTATAAGATTATACTGGAGGGCAAGGCTTTTCCCAGTGACCATGTATGTCTCTCTCAGTTGTGCCGTCCAATTGTGTGTTTTGTTGCTGTGTACTAACACGAGTGCAATGTAGTATGCGGTGGAATCTCAACTCCGCCATCATAACTTCAATCCGAAGGACGGCATGGTCTTGATCGAACCCCAGGATCTAGATCAGCCTACTCTAAGCACAGACCAAATCATCAAAGTGATTGATGACAACGCTTCCAGTACCGCACTCGTCCTCCTCTCGGCCATTCAGTTCTACACAGGGCAATACTTCGATATTGAGCGGATCACGGCTCACGCCCACTCTAAAGACATCTTGATCGGCTGGGACTGCGCTCATGCCGCCGGCAATGTGGACTTGCAACTGCACGATTGGAATGTGGATTTTGCAGCCTGGTGCAATTACAAGTACCTCAACAGCGGACCGGGCGGAATAGCAGGACTCTTTGTTCACGAACGCCACGGCTCTGTGGATGAGAAGCAATCCGAAAGTGACGAGACATTCCGACCTCGACTTTCAGGTTGGTGGGGTGGGGATATCAAAACGCGCTTCAACATGGAAAACAGTGAGTATCTGGCTCCAATATATTTATGAGCGAGGCTAACGAATATAGAATTTTTGCCGCAACCTGGTGCTGCTGGATTCCAGCTGTCGAACCCTTCTGTTCTAGACATCAATGCGGTCGTCGCATCTCTCGAAATCTTCAACCGGGCGACAATGAAGGAAATTCGACAGAAATCCCTCAACATCACGGGATACTTAGAACATCTTCTGATGAAGTATCCTCTAGATGCGGCCCCGGAGGATAAACTATTCACCCTGATCACGCCATCAAACCTAGCCGAGCGAGGTGCTCAGCTCAGTCTTCGTCTCCAGCCCGGCTTGTTAGATCATGTTCTGCATCGTCTGGAGGAGAAGGGGGTTGTTATTGACGAGAGAAAACCAGATGTGGTTCGCGTCGCCCCTGCACCCTTGTATAACACTTACACAGAAGTATGGGAGTTCTGTCAAATCTTTTTGCAGGCATGCAAAGAGGCAGCCAAGGCGCGTTGACTGTTGTTCTGTTGTGTACTATCTTATTTTTTTCAACTGCATATATTTAGATCCATCTGTAGGAAGTCAATTTTGTTAAATCTTTATTTTGAATCCTCCACCACCACACCACTCTAGGGCTAAGCAGTTCTATCTACAAGATATAGCCTCTGGTCAAAAGTAGTGGCTAACCGTATAGAATCTTCGGCTTCTCGGCACGCCTTCGATGACCGTTATCTCCACAAATGGCGGGCGATATGGATCTTTCCCGCTTACGTGCTAGCGAGAAAAGAAAAAAGAAATTGGGGTCCCAACTGTTTCTCTGCGTCTCCATGGCCTTTTGACTCACATGTCTTGGTTTCAAGACTTGACAGCCTAGATGGCAGAGAAGGAAATAAAACAACCATCTGTTTCGCACCCAGAATCCGGTCAAGATGTGAACGTAGGAACGAGAAGCGGAGATCTTGCCGATGTCGACTACTCGGTCTTCACAGTCAGTCAGCGCAGGTATATTGTCTTCATGGCCTCGTGGGCTGGGTTCTTCTCGCCTGTTTCTTCACAAATCTACTTCCCCGCATTGAATACCTTGGCGAAAGACCTGCATGTATCAAATTCGTTGATCAATTTGACTTTGACGAGTTATATGGTAAGGTTTCCTATGTGTATACCTAGGACATTTCATTTTATAGTTTGACTAACGAGAATGCAGATTTTCCAAGGGTTGTCGCCCATGTTCATTGGTGATTTTGCGGATAAAGCTGGCCGACGACCAGCATATATCGTGTGCTTTACCATCTATATCGCAGCCAATATTGGACTTGCCCTACAAAACAACTATGCAGCTCTTTTCGTTCTCCGGTGCTTGCAAAGTGCAGGAAGTAGTACCACCATTGCCCTCTCATCGGGGGTGGTCGCCGATGTAGCCACTGCATCACAACGAGGTTCCTACATGGGGTTCGTCACGGCAGGATCTCTCATGGGCCCTTCAGTCGGACCAGTAGTTGGAGGTCTATTGTCTCAATACATGGGCTGGCGAGCGATCTTCTGGTTTCTGACCATCTTTGCAGCGGCTTTCATGGTTCCGTTTCTGGTTTTCTTCCCGGAAACTGCTCGTGGTGTTGTTGGTGATGGCTCATTGCCTCCTCAGAAATGGAATATGTCACTGATCAGCTACCTGAAGTCCCGAAAGGCCCGCGAGGAAGGTGTCGTATCTACGGCAATTGCATCGAAGCAGAAACTCAAGTTTCCTAATCCTTTCCAGACGCTTGCCATTGTATTCCAGAAGGATATCAGTCTCATTCTCTTCTGCAATGCTATTCTTTTTGCTGGATTCTACGACGTGAGCGCAAGCATTCCTTCTATCTTCAATGAGCTCTACGGGCTAGACGACCTCCAGGT